ACCACTGCTTCCCACCAAAGATGGTTCCTATTTTTCTACTTGCATTTTTACATGCTTTCGAACTGCTAGGTTGACAGAAGGTGAGACAAGTAATGGGAGCTCACTCCATTATGCAATGCTAGGGATTTGAACCGCCGAACTGCCAACCTTTCTGATCGACAAGCTCAGAATCTTAGCCACTGAGTCATCGCATCCCCCCTGGGTGGCCAAGAAGGGAATAAAAATTTCAAACTTTAGAATGCCCACTAACCAAAGACACATTAAGCCAGAAAGTACCACTTAGTCATAGCGTCTTAAGAGAATTTGGCAAAGGCACGCAGCTTTTTGTTGAGATACAACAGAAGAAGACACAGTTGGAGAAAACTTATTAAAAACCTAGAAACCGAGGTCACCAAGATTCTTATTCTTTATTCTCAACTTCCTTCTCTTTGGACGGTCCAGTGACTGTCTATTGAAATCTTTGACGGAGAATGAAAAAAATATATTAAACAGTGGTAAACAGACAAGAGTGTTGAGAGCAGTGGCCATTTGTTCAATTCTTGGCAACTGCAGCAGAAATGCATAGCAGAACATTTTTAATGTCATCTTCTGAAAAATGCCCTGTTGGGCAACAACAGTGGCCTCAACTAAACTGGTTGTTATAGCAGAGACGTAGAATAAGAGAAATAAAAATCATAAAAATCCCTCCCCCGCCCGGTCCAATTTCAAAAAGTCATTTCCCCCTCATATTTAAACAAAACCATGAACACAACATGAACTAATAAATCATCTATTACTTAATTTAAAAAGTTTCCAATGATTTTTTTTTTCTTTCCCTTTTTGAGTTTGGGCTGGGTAACTAAAAATTACCTTTTGAGGTAATTTATACCAGCTGCTAAAAATATTTGTTCCCTTTTCTCAAGTGACCTCAAATCTAAATTTATAACCCACCCCTCCCTTTGAGACCCTGTAATCTCGTAATTTGGAGTAGAGTCAGGGCCACTGGATACCGCTGAGCATTTACTGGCCGGATGTCCTTCCTGACACCTATGCGGAGTTTGCAGTAGATATTTTCTCTTTATGCTCTAGGAGAGAAACATCTGCCTAGGATTGAACTCTCAACCTTCTGAATGGGAGGCGAGCATCTTCACCACTAGGCCACCATGCCACTCAAGTCTTACAGTGAAATGCAAATATTATTTGGCTATCAAATATCAAAGTCGTCATAGGTTAGATAGTTAGTCTTAGAAAAACAGAAGCCTATAAAGATTGACTAGATAAAGGAAGGTTTTTTTTATAAAACTTCCTTTATCTATTCAATTTCAGTTATTGTACATAACAGTTGTTACGTTTTGTTGTACATAACAGAAATTGTACTATTCAATTTCTGTTATGTACTTCCAAAAGCTGAGCTTAGAAGCAAATAAACACTTGGGGGAGGGATATCATTCTTTGATTTATTATATATTCTAGGTCAGGGATGGCTAACCTTTTTGTCGCCGTATGCTGAAGTGCAAATGTGCATGCCCACACCAGTGGTGAGTTTCAAAAACTTTTAGAACCTCTTCTGTAGGTGTGGCCTGCTTTGTGAGAGTGGCTTGCTGGCCATGTGACCAGGTGAGAGTGGCTTGCCGGCCATGGGACCAAGTGGGAGTGGCTTGGCAGTCATGTGACTGGGTGGGCATGGCCAACTTGTAAAATGTGGTGAAACACACTTAACAACGTTCTTGCTTAGCAACCAAAATGTTGGCTCAGAAACTCTGGCATTTGAAGCATGCAAGTCTTAAAGCTGTCAAGTTACAAGACCCTTGCACCCCTAACCCTTTAGGAAAAAAACCCAGGGACCCAGATTTAAGACTTTAAGGTTTAGATAGGACTCTTAGAGTCGGGCGGGGCGATTGGTGAGCCATCCAATCAGTGAGCGGTAGGTGGGGCAAGCGTGGTGCAGACGGGCAGGGGGGAGTGAGCTGGAACCGTTTCTAAATGGCACAGTAGATTTGTGGAACCTCTTCTATAGAAGAGGTT